AGGGCCTTGCCGCGATGGCCGCCCGGGAGCGAGCGCCCCTCGGCTGCCCCGCGCGGGAGAGGGGCCTTGGCCGCCTGTGGGTGGACTCTGGCCCCGGCCCGTGGCCGGGCCACGCCCTCACCGCCCGCAGTGCTGCGGCGTCTTGCGGCCGGCGGGGACGCTCCGGGCCCGGCTCACATGGCGAGGCGAGGCTGGAAGGGGCTGGCGCGGAGGGCCAGGCCAGCGGGGTTCCGTAACGCTCCACGAAGCAGGGTCCGAGCTTGCAGGCCTGTGGCTTCCTGGCCCCAGGGCTAGTACTGGGGCAGTGCTAGGGGTGCTGGTCAGCCGGCCTCCAGGAGGCCCCCTCAGCCGGCTCCACCGCTCTCCTACAGCTACGACATGGTGCACTATGGCCACTCGAACCAGCTGCGCCAGGCGCGGGCCATGGGTGACCGCCTCGTCGTGGGGGTGCACACGGACGGTAGGCCCCATCCCGGGCTCCCCAGACCCCCGAAGGCATGTCCGGCACGGGCCACCTCGGCACACCCCCAAGTGCAACGTCCCCCTTTCGCGGGGCCTGGTCGCAGCTCTGAGCCCCCATGGGGCGGCCGGCCCTCTGGCCTCTGGCCTCTGGCGCTGCCGCCCGCCCCACCGCAGCCGGCTTTTCCCTGGGGCCTTGGGACGGGCGCTCCAAGGGGCCCAGCTTTTCCTGCCCACTCTGGGCTTCCCCCAGGAGGCGCGGACATCAGCCCTGTGACACCCCCCAGGCGGGGTGGGTGGGGCAGCACCAGTATCTGCGCTTACAGCTGCCTGGCCTTGTCTCTGACCCCAGAGGAGATCGCCAAGCACAAGGGGCCCCCCGTGTTCACCCAGGAGGAGAGGTACAGAATGGTGCAGGCCATCAAGTGGGTGGATGAGGTGGTGCCTGCGGCTCCCTATGTGACCACGCTGGAGACGCTGGACAAGTACAACTGTGATTTCTGCGTCCACGGCAGTGAGTGGTCGGGCAAACCCACGGAGCAGGAGGCCGCCTCCCCTGTGGGGCCACAAGGCTCTGGGTCCTTCCCAACAAGTGGGTCAAGCACCCCTGAGTGTCTGGGGGTGAGTCGTGGTCGTGGGTGCTCAGTGACCTTGTGGTTTCCAGTTTTGAGCTCTCCTCTCTTTTCACCCTTAGATGACATCACGCTGACCGTGGACGGCCGGGACACTTACGAGGAAGTGAAGCAGGCGGGCAGGTACAGGTGAGCACAGCCTGCTCCCCTCTGCCTGGGGGCAGGGCGGGGCTGTGCCTGGCACCCCGGGATAGGTGGCCACAGGCTGTGCACACACGTACAGCTGCCATGTCCGTGTGACTTTTGAAAAAAACAGTGGCAGCAGCCGAGTGGGTGCTGTGGCCGGGATTGCTGGTGTGGCCGCAGGCGCGGGCAGGGCTGGCATGCCCGGGGTGGTGCCCAGCCTGCCTCTGTCCCCAGGGAGTGCAGGCGCACCCAGGGCGTGTCCACCACAGACCTGGTGGGCCGCATGCTGCTGGTCACCAAAGCCCACCACAGCAGCCAGGTGAGCCAGGGCAGGGTGGGGCCCCAGGCCATTGGGGGGGCTCCAGGGACCCAGGTTGGGCCGTGCCTAGGGGACCAGGCCCCTCAGCACTGCTCTCCACACAGGAGATGTCCTCGGAGTGCCGGGCGTACGCAGACAGCTTCGGCAAGGTGAGTGCCGCCCTGCCTGCTCCCCGCCTCCCGGGTTCTGCAGCCAGGCTGGCTGGCCACAGCTGGCCCTGCTGGGAAGAGGAGGAAGGACGCCCCAGGACTGTGGTCTCTAACCTCCCTCCCAGTGTAGCCCCTCACCCGACGCTCGCGGGGAACACTCTGCTCAGAAGGCTCCTCCCTGGTGACGGGATGGTGGCCTCAGGCGCAGGTCACCACTGGGCCGCTAGCCTGTCCAGCAGTGGCCAGACCCCCGCCCGTTGGCTGCAGCACCTGCTGTGACCACGGGGTGGCGCCACAGCCCTGTGGTCTCCGGCCACAGCAGCCTTTCAGAGGAGAGGGGGGCGCGCCTGCCCTGCCCTGCCCCGCCCCGCCCCTTCACCCTGCATGGCTGCAGGCAGCACTAGGCACAGGAGGCCCCGGGGTCCGCGCTGCTGATCAGACCTCTTCCCGCTTCCAGTGCCCTGGGGGGCGGAACCCCTGGACGGGGGTATCCCAGTTCCTGCAGACATCCCAGAAGATCATCCAGTTCGCGTCTGGGAAGGAGCCCCAGCCGGGAGAGACCGTCATCTATGTGGCCGGTGCCTTCGACCTGTTCCGTATCCTCCAGCCTGACCGTGGGGCGGGGCCTGGAGGTCCTTGGCCCTCGCGGCTCTGACCCAGGGAGGCCGGCAGCGTCCCGGGGACCTGCTCCTTAACCTGGGCCCAGATATCGGCCACGTGGACTTCCTGGAGAAGGTGCACGGCCTGGCGGAGCGGCCCTACGTCATCGCCGGCCTGCACTTCGACCAGGTCTCGCCCTGACAGCCGGGGGGCGCAGGGGCTGCTGACGGCCAAGGGGGCCCTCTGGGGCCTGCCCCCCTGCAGGCGGGCACCCGGGGACGCGGGAGGGTGTCCCGCTGGGCCACGGCTGACCACCCGCCCGCCCATCCTAGGAGGTGAACCGTTACAAGGGGAAGAACTACCCCATCATGAACCTGCACGAGCGCACCCTGAGTGTGCTGGCCTGCCGGGTGAGCCCTGCGCCCCGCCCCCAGCCCGTGTCCCCCCCTGCCCCCCCGGGGCTAACCCATTGTGCTGCGCCCTCAGTACGTATCCGAGGTGGTGATCGGCGCCCCCTACTCCGTCACGGCCGAGCTCCTGGACCACTTCAAGGTGAGGCTCCCTGGGTCACTGGGGCAGCTCCCTGGTGGCCAGGGCACCTGACCGGGCTTCTCCCTAGGTGGACCTGGTGTGTCACGGCAAGACAGAGGTTGTGCCGGACAAGGACGGCTCCGACCCCTACCAGGTGGCTGTGTGGGGGCCGTGGGGGGCGGGCTGCCAGCCTAGGGCACTCGCTGGGCAGGCCTCATCCCTCCTGCCCACAGGAGCCCAAGAGAAGGGGCCTCTTCCGGCAGGTGGACAGCCACAGTGACCTGACCACGGACCTCATTGTGCAGCGCATCATCCAGAACAGGTGAGTGCAGGGCTGGGCTGTGGGGGCGGGGCCAGGCCCCGCCGCCCGCTCACCTGGCTGGGCCCCCAGGCTCGAGTACGAGGCCCGGAACCAGAAGAAGGAGGCGAAGGAGCTGGCGTTCCTGGAGGCCCTGAGGCGGCAGCGGGGACCGTCGCCCGAGGGAGAGCGGCCCTGACCTCACCCAGGAAGGCGCAGAGCCCTGCGTCTGGCCTGCGCCCCGTCTCGGCGCTCATCTGACGGCCGCCGCGCTGGCTCAGGCCCGGCTGCAGTGCCTGTCCCGCGGGCACCTCCCCGCCAGGCGGCCAGCGAGGCCAGGACACTTCGCCCACGTGGACCCGTCAGCGCTGGCCCCCAGGGACAGAGGCGGCCGAGCCCCCCCAGGCCGGCTCCCAGCCTCTGCTGCCCTTGGACTGGCCCCCGGGGTGTCCGTGCTGGTCAATAAAGCCAGTGGAGGCGTCTGTGGCTCCTTCCTGTTCCCTGCGTGCCACGGGACGGGGTGTCAGGAGCAGGGTGGGGTCCCTTGGCCCTGGATCTTATGCCGCGTCCAGTAGGGCTTGGGCCTGGCGCCCCCACACTGCAGGGCCCTGTGGTGTGGGTGTTCAGGGAGGGTGTGGAGGAGGTTCCGTGGCCTAGGGCACCCCCATTCCCAGCCACCCTGGAACTGAGGGGGAGCTGGGAGGTGGGGCCTCCGGGCTGCACACCCCCCAGAGCGGGCACACGGGGCACCCAGGGCAGCTCCTGGAAACGGGAGCCCCTGGGGGTGGCGCGGGGTGGGGGAGGGGCAGCAGTGGAGGGCAGCTCGGGCTCCCGCTGGGGTGCGGGTCTGGGTGCGGCTCGCAGACCCGCATGCCAACCATGCCAACCCCCACTCCTCCGGCCAGGCAGCCAGGAAGGCAGGTGGGACCTGCACAGCGCAGGCCCCTGGCACCTCGGGGAGGGGGCAGGCCCTTGTGGCGCCTCAGGCCACTCGCCGCTGGACACCAGACCCGCTTCTCGTTTATTCAC